AGATAACCACCATAAAAGCCACATCAGTGGTTTAGCCACTATCCAACTTATTTGTGATTTTCTTTCATTTCTATTGGGTTGTTGTTGTTGTTGTTGTTGGACAGAAACCTCTTGTTTGTGTGTATCCACTAAAGGTGTTAAATCTTAGTTTCAGATGTCTGGAAGAATATTTTAAAATGTATAGATTTAAATCAATGCATTCTATTATTAATTATTCTGTCCCCAGGCAAAGTTCCTCCCACACAGCGGTGACTCCACTTTGGCCATGTGTGCCCGAGATGGACAGATCAGAGTGGCCGAGCTTTCTGCCACACAACGTTGCAAGAACACCAAAAGAGTGGCTCAGCACAAAGGTGCAGCTCATAAGGTATGATCAACCAGAAAAGTTTTGTTTAATTGTATATTTAATAGAAATATTTTATGACAGACCGATTATTGAAAATGAATGATAACTCTGAGGTGTTTAAAGTTGTGGCCATTATTCTGGTGTGTATATTAATTTTCGAAATTGAATTGTTTTCAATTTGCTTCTTCCGTGGTTACCTCAAACCAAACAGGGTTGAAATCTGTGACTAGAGCTTTACAGTCACATACATTCATTAATCAACAGCTTGGAACATCTGTTGCCCAATCAGAATCAAGCATTCAATCTTATTGTGGTGCAAAAACAAAGGACATACTTCATATAATATCAAAAAGTATCATTTTTATTGATTTATTGCAAGTTATAAAAAGTGACTGCAATCAAAAAGTCACATGTAAATGCTTGTGATTAAATGTTTTTTTTATTTTTGTTCCTCTCTCAGCTTGCACTGGAGCCAGACTCTCCCTGCTCTTTCCTCTCCGCTGGTGAAGATGCAGTAGTGTTCCGCATTGACCTGCGTTTAGACAGACCTGCCAAGTGAGTGCACAGTCATGTCACAAATGTCACAAACAGCCCTAAGATTGCCAGAAGAAAAGAAAAGGAGCACTTCAGCAGAGTGACACAAGTGAACAGGGACAGGATTAGAAATACTTGTATCAGCTGTATCAGCTGCTAGATGAGTCAGTGGAAGCTTTTCTCACAGGTTATTAATTATATGGCTTTGGTACTTTTTCCCATGCTGCATAAATACCATGGTGCTAAACAGTTTGAAAATGTGTTTCTACAGCCACTGTGCAGGTTTCTCTTTGTGAGGTTTGGTTAGCAGTGACTGAAACGCAGCTTTACACACAACTGCCAGTCTGCATGGAGAGGATCTTGAGACTCCAGTAGCTTCAAACACCTGACTGCTGCTCAGCAGTGGCTTTTTTACAGCTGGCATTACAACACAGTTAATTTGTTTGACAGAAACTTTCCTTAATAAATCTTTATCTGACCAAGATCTTCTGACCAAGAAGTCACTCACAAATCTTTTGACAGTTCAATAATCTCTATTTGTTTTTCACAAAATATGATTTGTTTTGATGCCTTTTGCAAGACATTGCATTGTTTCATACTTTTCATCTTCAGAAAGATCTTTCTTCCTCACCGTATTTCATGAGAACTGTGACTTGCTTAATAATGTGGAACAACCTCTTTAAGTAGGGTTTCCATTTACCTAAGAAGACCTGGCAAACTATTGAACAAACCTGTCTGAGATTGATACCAGTTACCTGAAATGATGTGAAAATCAAAACAAACAAAAATCTGACTCTTTATTGTACTGAAATCCTATTGATATGTCACTTGCATAATAATTTGGAACACAGTGTAATGTGGGTAAACACTGTTAATTGTTTGTTTTATGGAAATAGTTTAATTATTACACTTCCTCAGAGAAGTAATGCTATAAAACTGTACCATTTAATAACATGATGATAAACCCAGCAGTTCAAAGTTTGGGGTCAGTAAGACCCCCTGAATATAGGTACTCATTTTAAAGAAATGAGTACCTGTATTCAGGAAAGGTTTATTATATTAATAAAAATGTGAGTAAAGACATAGAATGTTACAAAATATTCTTGTTTCAAATAAATGCTGTTCTTTCTATGCTGAATCCTTAATCCTGAAAATGTGTATCAGTTTCCTTAAATATATTAAACAGCACAACTGTTTCCAACAGTGATATTAATAGGAAATGTATCTTGAGCACCAAATCTGTTCTGAAGGATCATGTGACACTGAAGACTGGAGTAACAGTAAACTGTTATTTTAAATGTTACAATATTACTGTTTTTACTGTATTTGTGATCAAATAAATGTAGCCTTTGTGAGGCTTTTTAAGACCCACTATATTGGGGCTAAATTGGGTCTACTTACCCTTAAAAATATCTTATTATGTGATCTCTTTTCATGCTTACTATAAAAACAGCTCATACTTAGGTCCTAGAAATCCTAGAATCAGTCCTGATTGTCATCCTTTTTTAGACATTTTTTTTATCCTGCAGCCTAACATTGAATGCGTTTTTTGATATTCTGGCTTGCAATCCTGTTCCCCTCTTCTTCCTGATTTTGTTTTGATTGATTTTCTTTTCTATACAACAAAAATACAAAAGGCCAATAATAGAAGAACATCTGCTGTATTGAAGAAACAGAAAACGTTTTGTCACATTAGAGAAATTACAATGTTTTAACGAGTAGATTCCTCCTTGGATCCCAAAAACATTACTGGCATCATAGAAAAAATATCTCTGTACACTCAAATTTATACAAATTTTATTTAATTCTTCAAGGTAAGAGTGCATAGTACATACTGTGATTCATAGGATACATTACACACTTTTGTTCTATGTGAAGCATATACTGTTTGCTATATTGACCGATCATTTTTCTTACTTTTTTTTTTTTTTTAAATCTCTCAGCAAACTGGTGGTGGTGAAGGAGGGTGAAAAGAAGGTGGGGCTGTACACCATTTTCGTGAATCCAGCCAACACACACCACTTTGCTGTGGGTGGAAGAGACCAGTATGTCAGGTGAGACCAGCATTTTCACTGAAATGTCACCTCCTTTGCACCGAAGTCATGCTGTTGTCTTTATCACAAGCTGCTTCTGATGCAGCTGTCAAACTTTAAACCCGTTACAATTGTTTCTCCAACGGCACTGTGTCAGCAGACTGGGCAACTGTTCTCCCTCTTCCTCTTTTTATGTGATAGGATCTATGACCAGAGAAAGATAAATGAACATGATAATAATGGTGTGCTGAAGAAGTTTTGTCCCTCTCACTTGGTGTCCAGCGAGTCCAAAACAAATATTACCTGTTTAGTGTACAGCCATGACGGCACAGGTAATATGCACACTTAACTCTCAGAAAGTGACTGTTGTATGGCTGCATCCCTTTTGAATAAAAACTTTACATTACATGGTCTGTTGTAGTTACATTCAAAGTATGTCATGGTTGAACTGTCTTTCAGATCTGCTGGCAAGTTACAACGATGAGGACATTTACCTTTTTGACTCCAGCCACAGTGATGGAGCGGATTACCGCAGGAGATACAAGGGTCACCGCAACAATGCTACAGGTACTTTCTATTTGATTTCATTGATTTAATTGTAGTGTTAATTTCGTTAACGAAAACTGACGAAAAATGTTAGTCAACAAGGTTTTTTCCCCTGACAAAAACGAGACGATGACGAGATGATAATAAGGTCATTAAACGATAACTGAGACTAAATGCACATGCAATATCATTTACGAAAAAAGACGAGACTACAATGTAGTTAAAAGAACAAAAACTTTACCAAAACCTTTTTATTTTTGTTGAAAAAAGTGGAGCCAAAACTTTTCTGACTGCTGTACAAGACTGTATTATGCGAGCGTTCATGTTTGTGGTTGCCAGATATCAAGGGATCAGATCCCTGCTTTTCTGTTAAATGGATACGTACATTACTCTGCCCGGCTTTATGCAATCTGGCAACCATTCACATGCGCTTTCTCTGTGGAGGCGCCGTGATCTGAAACACCGACATTCAGTACTGTACAAGCTGGAGTTCAGCGATCTTCATTTGAGGTATTCCGCTTAAATGAAAGTGTCATTCAGCCAATCTGTGTTCTGTCATGGATCTCGACTGTATTGTTTGCGATAGTGGTTTGCTGATTGTAACGTTACTTACGCAACCTCTGTGCAGCAACAAGTCTTTTTGCCGTTGTTTTAAAAGAGAAACATTAATGCAGTTTGGAATTATTGGAATTACTATTAGGAATTTCTCTGTTATAATATTTAAGAGTAGGTTTTTGTTACACCAGTTTTCATAACGTAGACCGGCCGAGTGTATATCTAAAGTCTTTGGTGTTTATTTAGCCTCTAATTAATATCCTGTTATAAATCTGTACACTAACGTTAGATGAGGTAAAATAAACCATGCATACGAGTCGATATTCTATTGATTTGTGCTTATTGGTGAAAGCAACTTCTGATGAAATGTAAAAAAAAATTTCCCAAATAACAACAATCATTGCAAATTGAGCAAAATAATACATTTTTTTTCATCATTTTAACCATTACACAGTAAGATGAAAATAAACCAAAAATGTGTAAGTTTCCACTGACTAAAACTAGACTAAAATTCTCAGACATTTAGTCGACTAAAACTTGACTAAAACTAAAACAGGACAAGTTGACTAAATATGATAAAAACTAAAAGTTACATTTGACAAAGGACTTTTGACAAAGGACAAAATTAAGAATAGCTGACAAAATGAACACTATTTAATTGCAGTATAAGGTGTTTATCACATTTTGCATGCATGTTTTAACCAATATAAATTCAGTTTTTGAAAAATACAGTTCTTAACCATCACCCCCTTTTTTCTTATTCCATCTGCTACTGGAAAATCCTCCTCCAGTGAAGGGAGTTAACTTTTATGGTCCCTGTAGTGAGTTTGTTGTCAGTGGCAGTGACTGTGGACACGTCTACCTGTGGGATAAGAACTCTGCTCGTGTGGTTCAGTTTATGGAGGGAGACCGGGGAGGAGTGGTAAGACACTGTCACTTCACTAAATTGAACTAGATCATTGAACTTCTGGTTTGAAAAAAAAAAAAAATCATATATAAATAATATTATCTTTCTGTGTTCAGGTGAATTGTCTGGAGCCACATCCTCATCTTCCAGGTTTAGCCACCAGTGGTTTGGATCATGATGTGAAGCTGTGGGCGCCCACTGCTGAGAATCCTACAACACTAAAGGGACTTAAAGAGGTACACTTCAGACAAATTATACATATTGCGCCACATTATATACATACTGTGCTATGAAAGAGGTTATCCTATAATGCATATCACATGCAATTTAGTGGGTCTCATTTGTGTCAGATTTACACTACTGTTCAAAAGTTTGGGAGATGTTTTTTTTCTTGCTCACCAAGGCAGAATTTATTTGATCAAAAATTCATACAATTTACAAGAAATGTTTTCTATTTTAATATATTTCAAAAATGCTATTTATTCCTCTGATGGCAAAGCTGAATTTTTAGCATATTTTCAAGTGTCAAAATGACCATAAACTTGGCATAAGACTAAGTCATTGCTTAGTGTGTACGTTTTGACCCTTTTAATCTGATAGTGTTGAAAACCTGAAAATATTTAAAATAATCATTTCTGGGTGTAAAAATGTCATGGAAATTGACAAGAATTAAATAATAAATTATACAATGCATTGACTTTTTTTTAGCCGACCATATACTGTATGTAAACTACTGTTCAAAGGTTCTGGGTCAGTAAGGTATATATATATTTTTAAAAATACATTTATTTATTTTCTATTTTAATAAAATAATAATAAATTTTAATAAAAAAAAAAATTAATACTTTTTATTCAGTAAGGATGCATTAAATTGATTAAAAGTAACAGTAAAAACAAAAAATCTTACAAAAGATTTCAATTTCAATTAAATGCTGTTCTTTTGACCTTTTATTCAAAGAATCCTGGAAAAAAGTATCATGATAATATACTTGATAATAAATATTGATAATAAAAAGATACAGGAGTATCAAATCAGCATATTAGATTTCTGAAGGATCATGTGACACTGAAGGCTGAAAATTCAGCTTTGCCATCACACATAAATAACTTAAGAAACAGTTATTTTAAATTGTAATAGTATTTCACACTATTACAATTTTTAATGTATTTTCGATTAAGTAATTTCAGCCTTAGTGAGAAGAAATATCTTTCAAATACAAAAAAAATCTTATCCAAACTTTGACGGCAAACTTAAACAGGTGAATAAATATTTTTGTTAAAAGCAAAAAAACAATTTTTTTACATTTTATCATGACTATTTAGGTAATGAAGAAGAACAAGCGAGAACGTGATGAAGACAGTGTTCGTCATGGCGACCAGTATGATACACAGCTCCTCTGGTTCCTAATGAGACACATGAGAAACCGAAGACCTCAGCGGGTAAGAATTTGCATTTCTAGGATAATTTTTATTGCCAATATATATCCAATGATGCCAGTTATTAGTAGGGTTGGGTATCGATTGGGTTTTTTATGATACCAGTGCCAAATCGATACTTTTAAAACGGTACTGGTGCCTGAACCGATACTTTAAAAAAAGAGCCACAAAAAAAACTAAACAATGGATAACATTAAAGAACATCGGTCTGCGGATTGAAGAGCGCGCTGAAAGACGGGGAGGAGACGAAGTCTGCCGCCGTTTTCATATGAAATTTAAAGTGGACTGGCTCTGAGGCGATCATGAATTTGTGTACAGTTTATGGAGCTAATTGCTATAGCCCCGCTAAAAACGGCCTAGCGACGCCCATGCTTCTTACGTCCATTTCGGAGAACCAGGACAAATATTTCAATCGATCGCTCAGGCATTTAAGTGGCACCGAAATGAGGCACTGATTCGGTTCTAGTACATACCGGTTACATAGGTATATGGCACCGGGTTTCGGTACCCAACCCTAGTTATTAGCTTGACTGTGTAGTCCATTTCTATGTATTGAGGATACACACTGCCTTCTACTTTGTGCAAAGCAACATGCTGCTATATAAAATCTTAATCACTCAAATGGTGGCGTTTTTGTTCCCTTTTACACTTAACCTACTATTCATGCTTTTTCAAACTAAAATGGAAACTATAAATAGAATAACCTTATAATGCTTCTTCAAACTATTGGTTTACCTGGCAGAAAAGAACCTAACCTCATCCTATATGATCTGACCTCTTCATAGCCATTAAAAAAAACAACAAACTATATACTGATTGCTTCAATGTTTTGCACCTTGTAGGCCCGGCGAGGGGAGGGGGGAGAGGGTGACACAGACGAATCCTGGAGCTCGCCAGATTCCTCTGATGAAGAAGAGGGAGGGCCAGACCATGTACAGTGCATGTCCTCCTGAGCCACACACCTATACACACACACACACACACACACACACACACATGCTCTTTGCCATATATTTAAGCACATACATACTAGTAACACACTGGTACACAAATAAACACTGAATGGCCAGCAACAAACACACACACAGCTTTAAATATACATACACACAGTGTGAGGAAGAGGGAAACGACTGTCAAAATCTGGCTTTGTGCTCCATACACACAAATGACATCACTAGGGGAAGAACTAATACTGAAATTCATATTTTTATATATATATTTGCAACCACACACGCAATTAACCACTGATTTTATGCGAACATGGACACAGATGCATTTCATTCCCAGTTTTACAGCGTATCACAAGGAAGACCACAGCCGGTGATCAAGAAATATCACCACTACTGTTTTGCTGCCTTAGTTTATCAACAACCATGAATTTTAGAAGCAGCGTTTTGCTGCAGCAGTCATGAGGCGCAGAAGAAGAAATTTCTCATCAGTGCTGTAGTAAACGGTTCCAATTGAAGCTTTTCTTTTACAGCGATGTATTTTGAGCATGATGGGACAGTACGGACTCTCAAAGCCAGTCCTTCTGTAGATTACTGAGATGATGAGTGTTACTTGTTCTAAAAACCAGCAGCATCCTTTACTGGCCTCATCAATTTTCTCCAGTGATCTGAACTGCCTCTGTCTCCAAGTAAGACTGAGCTGACGTTTGTTATTTTCAGACTGCAAACTTTGTTCGTCGCAATGATAGACTATCATGGTCTGTCTGGCCGTCCAATCCTGTCTTGTCTTTGTTCTCTTCTCCTGTGTGTGTGTGTGTGTGTGTGTGCGTGTGCGTGTGTTTGCTGAAGCCAGGCAGAGCAAATTTTCTTGAGGTCAATCATGCTCTCTTAGATCTGCCTGAAGACACAGAAGATGAGCCAGAGCAGCTTAATCTGGTTCCAGAGCTGGCTGTTTTGCTCCGTTTCTCTCTCCCTTGCTACTGAGTGCACTTTAATCAGGGATCTGCTTTGAGTTTTGAATCTCTAAGACGTGTGCGCGCTTAGGGGGCATGCAATACTTGGATTAATTTTGGTTATTTAGCTAATTTAGCTTTTCACCTTGCAATTCCCCTAATTTAATGTGGACTATTAAATTGAATACAGAGATTTGACACCAGCTCTTTGGTTTTTGGATTTGCACTTGGGTGGAGATTCTTGATGGAGTTCTTGAAGAAATTCCAAAAGGCTAGAAATGTAAATCTTCACAGACTACCGTCGTCTTCTCAGCCCTGTCCTGTAAAAATTGAGAGCAAAGATGATGATATGGTCAGAGCCAGTGATTTGTTGAATCCATGTTTCTTCCTCTGTCTTTCGTTTGAATACACATCCTCTAGATCTTTGCCTAACTAGATGGTGAGGATCAAATGTAGCAGGATGTTCCATGTTTGCCTGAGAAAGGCCAAGCCCTCACAACCCATTTTTCATAAAAATGGTGTCTGTTCTTTGTCAGTATTTGGATTCAGCTGGTTAAGAGCAAACAAGGATTGACTGTGACCTGTTGTAACTTGCATGTTGAAAGGAATGATTCATTTCAGAAGGATGGGTCAATGGCAGGAGATGGATAGTACTTGTGGGGTACGCAAGGAGGGGTAAGGAGCTTGAGTTACTTTGCTCCTTTTTTCCTTCTTTTGTGAGAGGAATAAAGTCTCAACTTTTCTCTTTTTGTATGAGAAGAAAACTTAACTGACTATATGTATATACAAATATATAAAGATATATATATATATAAATATATGTGCGTGTATGTTAATTAAAAAACTGTAAAAATCATCTTCAATTCTTACTCTTTCAAAGGGTGTCTAAATTTAATTGGTATTTGATGCAAAGGTTTATATTGTATATGACGAAATACTTTTAAATGAATGGAAACATTGGATATATTTTTTTCCTTCCTTTTTTGGGGGGATTATAACCCTAATTGTCACTGGAATTACAAGCATTCATTTCTGTTAGTGTTCATTTTCTCATTCTCACTTGTTAGCTCAAAATGTCCTGTTACTGGCATGCATTTTTTCCCCTTTTTTAAAATAATAATTTTTTTTTTTTTGATCTGAGTTATCCCACGCTGCCTAATATTGTGTTCTTTCAGTTCAGTTCAGACAACACGTACGAATTTTGCAGTAAAAAAATCTGTCCGTTTGTTTCTGACCAAGTGCCTTATTTCAAGTGCCTTCATTTACTGTAAATACAGGAGGAATTATTTTCTGTGTAATTAACTTACGGCCATCATACAGTATGTAATCATAATTAGTGCTATTTAATTAGTTGTATGGATGGTAAGACAGATAATTGTATTCTCTTTCACGATTTGTGCATCCTATGCTTATACAGGAAATAAATTACACATAATGTATTTCTATTATATATTTTATTTCCACAGACAACCCAAAATAGCCTAATAAGGGACGTGTCATGTACAGTCGACCTTTAAATAATTAGCATAAAACCTATCTTTAGCATATGATAGAAATCTAAAATGGACTTTATGATAAGGCCACATTAACTTTAACATTAGTTAATGCATCGTAATGAGCAATATATTTTATAACATCATGTTAGTTAATAAAATTGTACATTGTTCGTTCATGTTAGATTACAGTTTCTAATGTTAAAAGAGAACTTTTGATTTTAAAGGTATCTAATTTACTAATAAATGCTGTAGAAGTGTTAATTGTTCATGCTAACTAATGCAGCTGACTACCTTGCTGTAAAGTGTGAATGATATTGCATTTGTGCTGTTTTCTCTGGTATTAGGATTATACTGTTTTTATTTGGACTGAAGCTCCTCCTAAGAGCTTAAAAATGAAATGAAGCTACAGAAATAATTTTTTTTTTTTGTTGCTTTCTTTGAACAGTGGTTGTTCAAGAATTAAACATTAAAGTTTGTGGAGCAGTATTTATTTTGTAAACAAAATGTAAAGGAAAAAATATTGAGAACCACTGCAAATTTTCCTTGCTGTATCTGAGATTTTTCAAACGCAGATCAATCGTATAAGAGACAATTATAATGAACTAATGAACTTGTAATTTGCATAAATAATTTGTTTAAATCCTCCTGGCCCGTTTGATTTTCAGTCAAATTCATAGTGTGTTGCATTTTATGACCGTCATTTCGAGCACTACAAAAAAGAGGAAAACGGTTCATCACAGGAGTCATGTTTATGTCATATCATGTTTAAGTCATAAGCTTTTCATAATACATAGTTTCGAAGCAGCTTCACAGAAAGGTATGTCCCAGTGGTTCAAGGTCTTTAGGCCACAGTGATCAACTTTACAAGAAAATACTTTTAGAGACTTTAATCTCTAATAGGCTACCCCAGTGGCCAAGCAAAGGTAACTGTTGAAAGGAAAAACCTGTAGAAGATGTTTAGGTATTACAGGGAAAATCTTAAGAAAAACAAGACAACTGGGGAGCCCAACAAATTATTGTCCATATGATAGTTATAAATAGCGTTATAATACTATTGACAGTCATTTACATGCGCAATTTGGATTGTCGCATAAAAAACCGCTGGATGGAAACGCCAAGATGCGCATAAATTCCCCCTAATTTAATGTGGACTATTAAATTGAATACAGAGATTTGACACCAGCTCTTTGGTTTTTGGATTTGCACTTGGGTGGAGATTCTTGATGGAGTTCTTGAAGAAATTCCAAAAGGCTAGAAATGTAAATCTTCACAGACTACCGTCGTCTTCTCAGCCCTGTCCTGTAAAAATTGAGAGCAAAGATGATGATATGGTCAGAGCCAGTGATTTGTTGAATCCATGTTTCTTCCTCTGTCTTTCGTTTGAATACACATCCTCTAGATCTTTGCCTAACTAGATGGTGAGGATCAAATGTAGCAGGATGTTCCATGTTTGCCTGAGAAAGGCCAAGCCCTCACAACCCATTTTTCATAAAAATGGTGTCTGTTCTTTGTCAGTATTTGGATTCAGCTGGTTAAGAGCAAACAAGGATTGACTGTGACCTGTTGTAACTTGCATGTTGAAAGGAATGATTCATTTCAGAAGGATGGGTCAATGGCAGGAGATGGATAGTACTTGTGGGGTACGCAAGGAGGGGTAAGGAGCTTGAGTTACTTTGCTCCTTTTTTCCTTCTTTTGTGAGAGGAATAAAGTCTCAACTTTTCTCTTTTTGTATGAGAAGAAAACTTAACTGACTATATGTATATACAAATATATAAAGATATATATATATATAAATATATGTGCGTGTATGTATATATATATATATATATATATATATTGTTATTGTTGAAATAAATAAATATTGATGCCTTATAACAGGATATATTGTCTTCATACAAAATATATTTTCTTCTTATTTTAAATGAATATTTTATTAACTTTATTTTGAACTTTTTTATTTTGAAATATGAATATGTTCATGACAGGTTTTTGGGAGTTTGAAGTTCAATAATAAACACGTTTGTCCATGTTTTCCTGAGAGCGAGTGAAAGAGAGAGACTTCAGTAGTCAGTGTTTAAACTTCAAAGGCATCTCACACACACACACACACACACACACACACATACACACACA